GTATGTGTGTGCGTGTGTGTGCGTGCGCGTGAGCGTGGGCGTGTGCGTGTGCGTGTGCGTGTGCGTGTGCGCGCGCGTGCGCGTGCGCGTGCGCGTGCGCGTGCGCGTGCGTGTGCGCGTGCGTGCGCGTGGGCGCGTGCGCGTGCGCGCGCGTGCGCGTGCGCGTGCGCGCGTGCGCGTGCGCGTGCGCGTGCGTGTGCGAGTGCGCGCGCGTGTGCGTGTGCGTGTGCGTGTGCGTGTGCGTGTGCGAGTGCGTGTGCGTGGGCGTGGGCGTGGGCGTGTGCGTGTGCGTGTGCAAGGCGTGTTCGTGTGCGTGTGTGCGTGCGTGGGCGCGGGCGCGTGCGTGGGCGTGGGCGTGGGCGTGGGCGTGGGCGCGGGCGTGGGCGTGGGCGTGGGCGCGGGCGTGGCGTGGGCGTATACGTGTGCGTGTGCGCGTGCGCGTGCGTGCGCGTGCGTGCGTGCGCGCGCGCGTGCGTGTGCGTGTGGGCGTGCGTGTGCGTGCGCGCGTGCGTGTGCGTGTGGGCGTGCGTGTGCGTGCGCGTGCGCGGGTGCGTGTTGCGTGGCGCGTGCGTGTGCGTGTGCGTGTGCGCGTGCGCGTGCGTGTGCGTGTGCGTGCGCGTGTGTGCGTGTGCGTGTGCGTGTGCGTGTGCGTGTGCGTGTGCGTGCGTGCGTGTGCGTGCGTGCGCGTGCGTGCGCGTGCGTGTGCGTGCGCGTGCGCGTGCGCGAGTGCGTGGTGCGCTTGCGCGTCTGCCGTGTGCGTGTGCGTGTGCGTGTGCGAGTGCGTGTGCGTGCGCGCGTGCGTACGCGAGCGCGTGCGCGTGCGCGTGCGCGTGCACGGGCGCGGGCGTGCGCGTGCGTGTGCGTGCGTGTGCGAGTGCGCGTGCGCGTGCGCGTGCGTGTGCGTGTGCGTGTGCGCGTGCGCGTGCGCGTGCGCGTGCGTGTGCGTGTGCGTGTGCGTGCGCGTGTGCGTGTGCGTGCGCTTGCGCGTCTGGGCGTGCGCATGCGCGTGCGTGTGCGTGTGCGTGTGCGTGTGCATGTGCGTGCGCGTGCGCGTGTGCGTGTGCGCGTGCGCGTGTGCGTGCGCGTGTGCACGTGCACGTGCGCGTGCGCGTGCGCGCGCGGGTGCGCGGGTGCGTGTGCGCGCGTGTGCATGTGAGCGTGTGTGTGTGTGCGTGTCTTCTTGGGGGTGTCGGGGGGGCTCGTGGGGCCTCTTTAGGGCCTCGTGGGGGCTTGTGGGCGCCTCTTGGGTGCCTCTTGGGGCCTCTTGGGGGAGCCTTGGATGCCTTTGGGGCGCTCAGGTGGCCATCTTTGTTGGGTCCGTCCCCTGGTAATTTGCTTCTGGAGGGTCTATTGGGAACCCCAGGGAGGGTCTGTTCGGGCGTTTCTGGGACCTGTTGGGCCATGATGGGGGCACCTTGAGCTCGAAGACAGCCCAAGATCGCGTCAGGACGGCCGTGCATCGCCTCTCCTCTCAGGAAGCTCCGGGATCGCCATGAGCGCCTCAGGGCGTCTGGGGAACGGGCTCTTGGGGGCCTCTCGGGGGCCTCCTGGAACTTCCTGGTGGCCTATTCGGGGCCTCTTGGGGCCTCGTGGGAGCTTTGGGGGGCTTCCTGGGGCCTCCTGGGGGCGTCTTGGGGCCGAAGGCTTGAAATATCCGTTCGGGTACCCCGTATGGGCCCCCTCTTGGGGCCGTCCTGGGGCCTTTATGGGCCGTCTTGGTGGCCTCTTAAAACTTCTTGGGGCTCTCTTGGGCCGTCTTGGAGCCCTGTAAGGAAGCCTCTTTGGCCGTCTTGGAACGATGTTGGAGGCCTCGCGGGCCGTCTTGGATACTCTGAAAGCTGCAAATACGAATCTTCTAAACATATACGTTTTCCGAAATGAATGGGCTTGAGGCTCTCTTGGGAGTCCTTTTGGGGGCCTGTTGTGGCGTCCTGGGGCCTCCTGGGCCGCCTTGAAGACATCTTGGGCGTCTTGGGCTGCCTGGGAGCAATTTGAAAGCCTGCCGCACGTACGAGGGCCAAAAGCCGCCCAGGGAAGGGGCCAGAGGCCAGGTACTCAAATCAGGGCTCCCTAGGGCCTCTGGGCCCCCCTCCCTATCTCTCTCTGTCTCCCTTTCTCTTTCTTTCTCGTTCTCTCCCTCCCCCCCCTCTCTCTCTCTCTCTCTCTCTTTCTCTCTCTCTCTCTCTCTCTCTCTCTCTCTCTCTCTTTCTAGATTGCTATCTCTCTCTCTCTTTCTCTCTCTCTATTTCGCTCTTTCTCTCTCTACATATCTCTCTCTCTCTCTCTCTTTCTCTCGTTCTCTCTTATCGCTCTGTAGATATACATTTGCATACATACATATGCACAAACATAAACATAAACACATACACATATGCACATGTGAGTATACATAGGCATAAGCCTAGGCATGCATGCATGCATGCATGCATGCATGCATCCATACACGCATATGAGCTGCATATACGAGTCAGTATATATATGTGTATATGTGCGTATCGGGTTGAACTTGGACACAAATATAGATATACACCGATATGCAGATACAATCATACATACGTGCATACAAATATGTGTACATGGATCCGTACTTGTATGTGTATACGTGAGTGTATATGCATGTGTATGTGCGTACGTATATATGCGTATGTGAATGCGATGTGTTTGTATACGTACGTGTATACGACTATGCAGATATGTATACACATATGTATGTGTGAAAGTAGATGTACATGTACAAGTGTTGTGCATGTTATGTGAAATGACTGTCTACGCATAGTATATGTGTGTCTGCATGTGGATGTATATGGTTGCACATGCACTTGCACATGTATATGTAAGTGTACATGTACACGCGCATGCACCTGCATATGTGTATGCACACGTATATATATATATATATATATATATATATATATGCTGCTATGCATGCATATGTACAGTTGTGTGTGCGTGTCTGTGTCCATGTACACGTATACGTGAGTTTGTATGGTCATGTGTCTGTGCATGTATGTGTGTATGTAAATTCGATCCGTACTCATGTGCAGGTGTATGCGTGTACGCATGTACAAATTAGGTGTACATGCATGCGTTGCATGTATAAATATATATGTGTGTGTATGTAAGTGCAAATGCATACGCATAGGAACGCGTATATGTGTATATATGTGCATGTGTATCTGTATGTGTACCCCCATACGTTTGTTAGCTGTACAACGTGGTTTATATGTACATGCATATGTCTAGTCATATGCATTTGTATATGCATATGCATTTGTATATGTGTATGGATATGTATACGTACGTGTACAACCGTATGTAAATGTATGTGTATATGTAAGTGTAAATGTACATGTATATGCGCAGTTACATGCAGATGTGTGTGTGTGTATGTATGTGCGTGCATGTGTACATTCAGATGCAAATGTACATGCCGAAGAAGAATCGACGTATACGTATATTCGTACGGATATGGGCATGTAAATGCACACGCATGGGCATACGCAAATGTGTGTGACTGTGTATAAGTATACTTGTATGTTAATATGTACATGTATGTGTACATGTGTGTATTACCATACGTGTCTCATCTCACCGTATGTCTCTTCCGACGGATCACATAGTTCCGTTCGTTCCCTCGCTCTCCCTCTCGAGCAGAAGAGCCAAACAAACTGGATGAGTCTCAACTATCAGAGCTCCACGCGAATCTCTTAGATCCGTGCTGGACACCCCCTCACTGGCGCGCGAGGAACCCAGCACCGATCTAAGAAAACCATGCTGAGCTCCGAAAACGTATGTCCGTGCTGCGTTCTCTTCTTCGATCGATGGTTTTTTTTTCTCCTCCTCCTCCTCCTCCTTCTCCTGCTATTCCTCCTCCTCCTCCACCTCCTCCTCCTCCTCCGCCTCCTCCTCTTCCTCCCCCATCCTCCTCCTCCTCATCCTCCTCCTCCTCCGTGTCCGTCTCCTCCTCCTCCTCCTCCTCCTCCTCATTCTCCTCATCCTCCTCATCCTCCTCCTCTATTCGTTTTCCTCATAACTAACTCCTCATTGTCGCACCCCGACGCCAGTCGAAAGAGCGGGCTGGGTGATTCGTCTGAGACCCCGTCACCATTTATGATCCTGAAGCTTACAAGGTGCAACAGTTTCACTGATGGAGGGCGGGCGGTTTTCTAATGTTGCTAGCGCTGCGCACATTCGCTTCAACAAAATACTGCAACGTCACGAATGGAGGGCGGGCGAGTTTCCAAATGTGGCTCTCGCCTTAGCGCTGCGCGCACCCGTCTTAAAAATTGCAAGAGCTTCACGGAAGGAGGGCGGTTCCTTTTCAACATGCGACTCTTGCCTTAACACCGCGCACAAACGTTTGAATAGTTTACACAAGGTTCGAAAAGTCGCATGGTCAACATACGAAAAATGGCGTTTGGCCAGATGTTAGACTGTTGAGGCACAACAAATACGTTGGTTCGTGGTTTTGATGTCGCAGGAATGATGTTATGGCGGGGTTCAGGATTGTCAAGACGTAACATTACTGGTGAATCGCGTCGTTGAAGTCCAGGAAATGGTGTTCTGGCACAGTTCAAAATTTTCAAACAGTTGTCTCCAACGGGGCACCTCCTTCAGTGAAAATGCAACCTTGGAGGGGCCTGTGAACTGTGAAGAGGGAACTTGGAGGAAGGGTTTATTGCCATATAGTTGATGAGTGGTCCTTCTGCTACTTCTGCTCCTCCTCCTCCTCCTCCTCCTCCTCCTCCTCCTACTCCTACTCCTACTCCTCCTCCGCAGCCCTGGCACTCGACCAGCTTTGGGGAGAGTGGCCACCAGGGCTAGGCGTGTGGGGAGGTCTGTCCAGCGCCCACGTGAGGGGTGCGCCCATCAATATATCTTGATAGTCTTGGGTTTACACTGGTCCTCCTGCTCCTCCTCCTCCTCCTTCTCCTCTTCCTCCGCCTCCTCCTCCTTCTCCTCCTCGTCCTCCTCCTCCTCCTCCTCTCCCCTCTCCCTGCTCTGGCTGCCGCAGGCCGAAGCAGCCAGAGGCTAGAGCTGCACTCGAGCCGTCACGAGCCTCGTGGGCCTTCAGGGCCGCGGAATGCAGCGGCGCAGAAAGCGACAACGATGACGACAACACGCTCGTGACGCCACAGGATGACACCCACCGTTCCTGCGGCCCCTGTTCCGAGGCAAGTGCTCAGCTCTGGGTCACAAGCGCCAATGACTTCGGCATCAGCGTCACAGCTCAGCACTCTCGGCTTGTGCAATACACACTGGGAAATGCATCAACTCGACATCCGCACCGCCCATGGGAACCATGCATATGTATGCAATCCAAGGCGAGTAGTGATCCAGCGCATTCAAACCATGGACACGTATTATTCCAGTTTCTTGTACCGGGTGAGGAGCCTGCACATATCAAGCTTCTCCTTCCGCTTCCCGTTCCAAACCAACACTTGCACGGTAAGCTTAGCACGGTCTTCGTCTGTCAGCATCTCTACAGCCATTGAAATTGACTTTCCGATGCTATCGAAACTGTTGTTAAAGACGCCACCGCCTAATGGCATCAAGAAGACTTTTGCTGTCGTTCCCGGTTCTGCTCTGCTGGCAGCGGTTTTCAGTGCACCGTAGTACTGGGCGACGAGTATGCTCAGACCAATCTTGTTGTGCAGATCTTTCTGCACTTGGCTCATGGGGCGGTTGTTGTAAGTCTCGAGCGGGACCGCTGAGGCATAGACAAGGTTGACCTTGTGCGTGGCGTCCGAGAAGCTTCCCATGGATGGAATCAAACCAGACGCTGGAATACCCGACATGATTAGCGGCCGCAACGTATGGATGCTGGTCAAAAAGTTTGTCAATAGCTGGTTTGACTCCGTTTCACTGTCTGGCATCGGCATCTCCATGTACCCATTCTTCAACTTAAATTGCGGATTTCTGTCCAAAAGCGTGTCCACGGCATTAATGCCGTTCAGACGATCATCACAAGCAGCATTGTCTAGAATAAACTGCCCAGCCGCAGGGTGGACTGCCAACTGTCCACGAGGGCCACCTGTATTATCAAACAGGTACTCTTCAATTTTACGAACGATTATTCCAGGAGCTGGATACTCTGCACCATTCAGCTGCGAAGGCAACACAAAATATGCCCCGTCGTTCTCTGGCTTCTGGACTTCTGCCATGATTTCGGATTCGCAAATACCGATCACAGGCATATCCACGTCTGGTGTGCGATCCAAGTCCAGAGGTAAAGCGTATTCTTTCTCTGGCTCGGGCCAGGCAACAGGGTCACATGTGAACGTGCCAATATGTTCGCCGTTGTGCGCGTTGAGCACCGCGCGCGGCGCATTGACTTCACAAATGTACTTACCCTCTCTCCCGTTGAGAGAAAAATTACCCGTCAACTGCTGAATGAAGGTTTCCATTGTGACCTACTCACGAATATGAAAACTGCAATGCGCAAAATCAAGCACGTCATGCAACCTGTTCACTATGAACAAAGCTTGAGCTCAAAATTGGCAAAGCGATGGACATGGTCACGCTCACCGTCTCTTCCTCGTGTTCATCCTCATCCATCTCACCATCGCCCTCGACAAGTTACAACGATGGTGCCGAGATTCGTATTTCGGATCATGGTCAATATAGGGATTATGACAACGGTAGCAGCGGGAAGGCTGATGGTGGTAATGGTCGTGAAGGTGACGGTGGTCGTGGAGGTGGTATTTAGACGTGGTGTTGGCGCTGATGGTGGTGATGGTGCTTGCGATTGCGACATTGACGACAACGGTGATAGTGATGATGATGGCGGCTGTGACGATGGCGGAGGTGGTGACATGGTACGTACGATGTCAACCGTACGGTGGACACTGGTAAAGGCGGCGACCGTGATCTACCAGCCGCCATGATGTTCGAGGGCCGTGCCATAATTAGTAACCGCGGCCCCCAAGGTGGCACCCCAAGCCACCTCGACGGCACTAGAGCCCATCCAAAGATGCCCCTGGAAAGACCAAGGGGTCCCGAAGAGGCCGCTCCAGACGGCCCGAGGGGGCACCAGGAACGAGTCTCATATATGTCCGAGGCGGCCTGCACGAGCGAGCCACAAATGGCACAGTCGCCCGCTACTCCCGTTCCTCTTTCTTTCGTTTGTCCTATCACTACTCCTTTGCACGGCGCCGTACCATATCCAACAATGATAGACCGTATCCTCGCATAGCCCTCATAGCGGTGCGACGGTGTGGGGGGATCTTCGAAAACTAAACAAAAACATTGTTTTCCATGTGTACACAAATATGGTACCAACCAAAAAAATCTGCTTAGGGCTATACTGCTATGGGGCTATAGGGCTATAGGGCTATAGGGCTATAATGCTATAAGGCTATTGGGGAGGGCGCGCCGCTGGATCTCCCCAAGGGGGGAGGGGGGTTGGGACCCCCCCCCCCTTTCCCTCGATCCGTCGTCGGGGACCCCCCCCTCCCCCCCTTCCCCGATCCGTCGTCGGGGACCCCCCCCATCCGTTTCCTGGTCCGTCGTCGAGAACCCCCCCCCCCTTTCAAAAGGGGGGGGGGGTTCCGAACCCCCCCCCCTCCCCCCCTTTGGCCGCACCCCCCCTCCCTCCCTTTCGCCACGCCGCCCCCTGACTCCGGAACCTGACCCCCGCCACCCCTACCCCTAGTCCTCACCCCAACCCAAACCCCTAACCCTAACCCCAACCACTAACCCCAGCCCCAAAGAGTACTCACTACTCATTACTCACTACCCACTACTGACTACTCGCTATTCGCTACTCAATTCTCACGACCCCCTACTCCCTACTCACGACTCATTACTCTCTATTCACTACTCGCTACCCACCACCCACTACTCGCTACTCACTACTCCCTACTCACTACTCCCTCCTCCCTACTCACTACTCACTACTCACTACTCACTACTCACTACCCACTACTCAATACTCACTACTCACTAAGCACTACTCACTACTCCCTACTTACTACTCACTGATCACTACCCATTACCCACTACCGACTATCCACTACTCACTACTCACTACTCCCACTACTCGCTACTCGCTACCTCCCTACTCCCTACACAGTACTGACTACACAGTACTCAGTACTCACTACTCGCTACGCCCATACTCGCTACTCAATACTCACTACTCACTCCCCGTTACTCACTACTCACTACTCCCTACTCACTAGTCACTACATAGTCTCTAGTCACTAGTCACAAGTCACGAGTCACAAGTCACTAGTCACTATTCACTACTCACTACCCACTACTCACCACTCACTACTCGCTACTCACTACCCACTATTCGCTACCCACTTCTTACTACTCACTGCTCACTACTCCCTACTCCCTACTCCCTACTCCCTACTCCCTACTCACTACTCCCTACTCCCTACTCCCTACTCCCTACTCACTACTCACTACTCACTACTCCCTATTCCCTACTCCCACTACTCCCTACCCACTTCTTACTACTCCCTACTCCCTACCCACTTCTTACTACTCCCTACTCACTACTCACTACTCACTACTCACTACTCACTACTCGCTACTCCCTACTCGTTATTCAATAATCACTACCCACTACTCACTACTGACTACTCTCTACTCACTACTCACCACCGACTACGCCCTACTCGCTCCTCACTGCTCCCTACTCGCTACTCACTACTCACTACCCACTGCCACTATCCACAAATCTCTGTTCATCACTACTCACTACTCACTACTAACTACGCACTACATACTACTTTGTACTCACTACTCACTACTCACTACTCACTACTCACTACTCGCTACTCTATACTCACGACTCACTACTCACTACCAACTACCCACTACTCACTACTCACTACTCACTGCTCACTACTCACTACGCACTACGCACTACCCACTACTCACTACTCACTAATCACTACTCGCCACCCATTACTCACTACCCACTACTCAATACCCACTACTCATTACCCCCTACTGCCTACTCAGTACTCACTACTCGCTACTCGGTACACACTAAGCACTACTCACTACTCGCCACTCACTACTCACTTATCAGTACAGACTACTCACTCTTCACTACTCACTACTCCCCACTCCCTACTCCCCACCCCCTACTCGCCACTCACTACCCACTATTCACTACCCAATACTCACTACTCACTACGCACTAACTCACTACTCACTACTCACTACTCACAACTCCCTACCCCCAGCCTCCGCACTCCCTACACACCTTCTCCGGCGCAGAAAGGAGAAGCGAGAGAGAGGCCCCCCCTCCCCGGCTCCCGTTCCGACCCAAAGGGGGGGAGGGGGGGGGGTCCGAACGGCTGGCGCGCCCCCGTGGTCGCGCGGGGCCCGCCGCTGGCGCCCTCCTCAGCTGGCCGCCTCCGCCTGGACGGTCGACTCCTCGGAGCTCGAGGAGCTCGAGAAGCTCGATGAACTCCCCCAGCCCTCGCCCTCGCTCTTGGAGGCCGCCGCCGCCATTCCAACCGAGCTGCGGCGCCAGCACCTATGGCAGACCACGTCATACTCCTTCGGGCCTGGCGCGTCGTCGAAGTAGGTCGCGCTCAGCGGCGACCTGCCAGAAGCCCAGCCACTGACCACACCTCCGTGGAGCCTGGCCACCTCGGCACTTCCTCGCGCACACGACGAGGTAGCCGCCGACCTCCTCGGCGCCGTGCTCTCGGGGGGGGGCTGCCGCTCTCCGCCACCGAACTGGGCGCACCCAGCCGTCGTCGTCGACGCTGTCCCGCCCCCCCTATGCCCCGTGCACTGTTCGCGGGGGCGTTGCGGCCCCCGTCGGCGGCGCGACGCCCTCCTCTTCACCGTCTTCAACGGCGGCCTCCGGAGTTGCCGCCCCCCCGTCGTCCACGGGCGCCGCGGCCACCCAACCAGCACAGGTTAAGGGGCGCGCAGGTCTCGGCCGCCATGCTCGACGCCTCCTGCACCGACAAGATGTTCCTCAGCACCAGCCAGTTCACCGGGTCTGGGATGGCTGCCGCCTCGCCCAGTTCAACGCAGGCCTTCCCGGACCGCACACCTCTGTGAACCGCTGCTGGAGCTTAGAGACGACGGCGCGGCACGTCCTCGCGCAGGTTGCCCAGCCGCCGACCACCTGCGCAGGTAGTCGAGATCGTATTTCGGGACCCCCATCGCCACCATGGTCGAATGGCGTCGCCCTTCCTGAATGCTCCGCAGAGACGCTCACGACCTCCGCGGGGGCGCGGAGCTCGACCTCCTCGCCCGCACAGGCAGCTGGCTTCAGCATCCGCTGGAGCACCTCCTGACCTGCTGCTGCCGCCTCTGCGTACCCAGCGGGCACGCGGACCCCCTCCAGCCCCTCGCCATCCCACCGCGGCAAGAAATACTGCCCCTCGAAATCCGCGACCCCCTGTCGCAGGTCGAATCCCGTCTGCATGCATGCCAGGACCACCATGTTAGATTCACGGGATACCACTAGCGCCAGTCCCAGCATCTCGCGCCCCGCATCGCCAACCTTCGCGAGCCCTGCAGCGCGGCCGCCAGCCACCCGCTGCGGCGGGAGACTGCTGTAGTCGACGCAGCACCGCACCGCCCACACTTTGACGAGGCGGAACAACGCCACCCCGCGCAAGTACTTCGCGAGGCCCTCGTCCACGACCAGCCGCTTCAGGGCCCCAAATTAACGCGCTGGGGAGCCGCGCCGCCCTCGTCGCCGGGCCTCTGCCACCACCGAAGAGCATCTCCACGCTCGCGAGGACCTGCTGGGCCTCAAGCCCAGCGGAGAGTCTGTCGTTCAGGCCCGCGCCCGCCACGCGCTCCGCCCATACCATGGCGCGCAAAGCCTGGTTAGGCACCGTCTGCCCGCACGGCTCGGCAACAATGGTGTGCACGTAGCCGATGGAAGTGCACGATGGTATTGGACCAGGGGACGCCGCGCGCGCCATGGCCCCGCGCGCATCGCCTCCATGGCTCGCGCGTGCGACCTCGCCGCGTTGATGCGCGCGCGGCCCGCGACGCAGTCCTTCGCTCGCTCCAAGCCCATGCCAGGCCACGCCGTCGCCAACCAGGGGTCTCCCATCTCTCCAAGCAACGTGATGAGGCGTGGCTTCCATCGAACCCACTCTCACGCTCCCAACCCGCGACGACTCTCCTCCGCTGCAACGCGGCACCTTCGCGCGAAGCGGGTTTCCGCCATCGCGCGGGCCCCCAGCGGCGGCGGGGCCCCAGGCACCTTTCGGTTCGCAACGGCGTCCTCCACGATGTCCGAGGTTCGCCACGGCGTCCTCCAGCATGGCCCGTTCAGGGCACCCATGGGGCGCCTTCAACCGTTTCTGCACCAGATCTGCGGCCACTGCCTGGTCCACGATATCCTTCAGCGGCAGCCGCGCCTCCTCCACGCTGAAGTCCGCGACCGCCGCTACCTGCACGAGGGCCCCCTCGAACTCGAGCTCGTTCGCCTGGAGCACGAGGCGCGGGCCGAGGAGATCGTAGTCATGAAGCACTTTGCTGATCCGCCGCCACGC